CTCTCTCTCTCTCTCACACACACACACACACACACACACACACACACACACACACACACACACACACACACACACACACACAGAGTCTCTCCCCCTGGACACACGCACTCACACGCAGACACAGATAAAATCTCTCCCTGTGGCAATATGCACTCTCATTCTCTCTTTCTCACACACACACACACACACATACACACAAACACAATCTCTCCCTGTGGACAAACGCACAGATACAATCTGTTCCCCTGGACACACGCACTGACATATGCACACACAGATACAATCTCTCCCTGTGGACACACGCTCTCTCTCTCTCTCTCTCTCTCTCTCTCTCTCCACACACACACACACACGCACACACACACACACAGATATAATCTCTCCCTCTGGACAGATTCCATTTGTCATTGTGGGAGTGAATTCCCTAAGGCTTGGGAGTCCGTCCTGTCCCTCATGACGGTCAGTGGTGTTATTATTTCATGTTTGTATTCAGTGGCTCCCAGCCAGGAATGGGGCTCTTGTTCTTTGCGCTAGGAGCTGTACACACACATCTAAAGAGACGGCCCCTGCTTCTGTCCCAAGGCGACCGGCCCACACTAAGCCTGTGCATGAAAGAGACAGAATCATGCTCCTCATCGGGGACAAATAGCCACAGGGGGCCATCCCCCAAGCAGCGGGGGGCACGAATCTCCCCCTACTCACTCTGGTTTCATCGTCAGCATCGGAGGGGCGGGGTCACTTTTGATTTGTGCTCAGGGTCCGTGCGAAGAGAAATCAGGCTGGGTGCGGGGCGGCCCACTGCTGGGCAGATGGTACCTGTCTCTCTCAGCCCCCAGAACGGGAGAAGTCTGTCTCTTGTACACTTCGGCAGCCCTGGGCCAGCTTGCCATGACAACAAGGGGTGTGAGGATGTGTGAGATGTCAGCATCAGATCTATATGGGGGGCAGATGATGTAGGGTTCCCAGGGGCCCGGTTTTCGACCAGAAAGTCCGGTCAAAAGGGGACCGGGCAGTGTCTGGTCAGATGTACTGACCGGACACCAAGAGTCCGGTTACTGCGGGCAGGGGTATGGGAGGTGCCGGGTCATCAACCCGTGTGAGCCCCTGCTCTGCCGGTGCCAGCGCCTACCTGCATCTCATGGCCAGGCCGGCTCCGTGTCATGGGCTGCAGCTCCCGGCCAGCCCCAGAGCAGAGGGAGCCCAGCTGGTGGGGGGGCGGGAGGTGAAGCGGAGCCAGTTATGGGGAAGCAGGAAGGGTAAAGGAGAGAGTAGGGGGCAGGGCCTGGAGGAAGTGGTGGAGCAGGAGGCGGGGCCTTGGGGGAAGAGGTGGAGCAAGGGGCGGGGCCTCGAGGGAAGAGACAGAGCAGGGAGCAGGGCAGGGGGGCTGGTTGTCAACATTTAGAAAGTTGGTGGGTGACCCTAATTATCCCCCATCTGCTGCCGCAGGGTTTCTTACATCTTCCTCTGAGAGATCTGGGGCTGGCCAGTGTCCGAGATGGGCTACTGGGCTAGATGGACCCTGGTTCTGATCCAGCGTGGGAATTCGTACGTTCCTCTGTGTGCGCGCAGGCCCAGGTCACGTTCTGAAGTTGCTTGGTGGGGATGAGGTTCAAAGTTGCAAAGAAATAGCAGAAGCTTGTCCTGGAGGTGGGGGGATGGGTAGTTAGATCTGATGTTTTAGGACATTTGAGCTTGTTGTAGCAAAGCTGAAGTTACCACAGCCGGGGCACGGGGTGGGAATGTGCATCGACCACTAGGGGGCGCATGAGTCAACCGAAAAGCTGGCCTTGGTTAAGGGAAGGACCAGAGCTCACAAGCCGTCCCACGTTCTGTAGAGCAGGGAATCGTGATTCGTCTTTCTGGGGCCGTCCGCGCACAGAGGAGGACACAGGAGGGATTGGAAACCAACACTGAGCCAGTGAGGCCATGGGGAGTTAGTTTAAAAAACTGCAGTTAATTTTAGAGCTGTAAGAAACGACTGATTTCTGGCAGGGTCGGAGCTCGAAGGGCTGGATACAGAATTCCAGGGGAGCGGTGAAATGTACAGGGGTGTGTATGTGTGTGTGTGTGTGTGTGTGT